GTATGCTTATCCAAGTCCAGAAGTGGGACCGATTAGCAGCAGAAACCGGGCAGCATAGGAACGATAATGTTACTTTACTGGAAGCGAGTCTGCACCAAAGAAGCGTTATGACCTCTAAGCCAAGGAATGCTGCACAATTAGTCTCCCCTGAACTTCACTCAGCCGGGTCCCTATTGCTGTTGTCTTCTCCGACTTTGGTAGAACGCTAGGCGAAACGACTACAGCTACAAGAGTCAAGCAGCACTCATTACAACAAAAATTAGGCATCAAGCAAAACTTGTGGTAAGTAAAATTCCACTAGGCTTAACATCTGTCATTAACAGGGATAAAGCAACCAAACGCTAGCCTTACGCATCAGCAGGTCAAAGACCTTATGTCGAGCAAATGTCCCCCGGGACATCAGTTACATATGTAGAGGTTGATGCCAAAGTCAGACGAGAGGCCGCCTATGCAGCCTCTTCTGATGCTAATACCGCTTGTGTGAATAGAGAAACAAACCATGGAAAATCATCACGGCTGGAAGTCAGGACATACGATTACTCGAACTTGCAAATCAACGAAAATGGGATCCAACAATAGTGCGCTGACTGTTGTGGACTCAAATGTCCCCGAATCTACCGCCATCACATTACATGCTAAGTTATCGGATAACCAAGACCAATGCAACTCATTTTGCGTTCTGATGAGCGTCAAAGCCAAACCCTAAAACTAACGGGGGTTACTTGTCACCCGAACTTTGCACACTATTGCGAACTGGGACTTAACAGAGTAAAACTAGAATCCTCTACTGATATAGAAAACGTTTTACTCTCTGCAACTACGTTACAACCCGAATGCTGTGGGATCCGTATCTATCTTGATATTCCTTGGGGAGTGCGAAATAGAAAAGAAACACCGAAGTGGGACACAGTAAGAAAGATCGTCCAAACACAATCTTCATCCATGGCGTGCCAAAGCTTCTTCTCGAGGATATTCAAGAGGTCGATAATCACGATTTAGTACAGTGGCTGTTCGTACGGAAAAACCTTTGCTTGGATAATGTTGTGGCGAAATCGCTCAAATGGCTACCCCTAACAACAAATTATAGAGGATGTAGCCCAAGAATCTAATCGGAAGCCGCAGCCCAAGAACGTGACATGGTTTCGAGACGTCTATCATCATGACACGAGTTGCTACCCGACCGGCGGTAGCACGGTGAAGTCACGCGGGAAGCTGATGTAATCAGTCCGTCAGTATGGAACAGGTTGCTACATGACAGGGCACGACAACAGCTGACAAGTGCTCACCGCAAGCAAGTTTGAAATCTGCCCAGATGAGTGGCTTTGAGTCAGCTCAGGAACTTACAACAGAAGCTGATAGATTTTGACCAATAAAGTGCACCGCATTCTGTGCCTAATACACTTCGGTCTAGTAGGCTTCGGTGTTTTGTTTTGTCTCCGGCTGGGTTGGCAGTGCAGAGAGCAGAGGCGAGGGCAGCGTTAAAAAGAATCTTAAAAACCGTGTTTCAATCAGAGAAAACAGCAACGGATGTCATGGATCGATGGCGAAGCAATCGTAAAAGCCTGCCGTCTGAACTACGGTTTAAGACTGTAGAAGCTTTGCAAAGTTTAGATACCAAAGCATTTGCTACAGTAAACGTGATGTTGATTGCACAGGAGATTCATTTGACTGCTCTTTTATTCGACTCGGACGTAGGTACCTACGATGAGTGAGACATTCGTTGGCCGAATCGTTACAGAAGATGTATTACTTTCCCACCAAAAAACGAGGCGCGGTTAACGTCGCATCGCTTCACACTCTCCGACACCTAACCTCTTTGACTCTCTGTGGGCTCCTCGAGACTAGGAAACTATCCTGCTTGTATAGCAATGCTCAAGTACTTTTCAATAAGCTGATCGAACTAAAGATCGCCAACTTGCCGGGTCATATAATATCTTCGGTATCACTGAGACGTGGTTACACATTGGAGTAATGGGCGCTGAAGCCTCGCTACCGGACATGTCATTCATTCGGAGCGACGGACTCACAAAAGGAGGAGGCGTACTCCTGGATAACTAAAGCGAACTACTGTGCGAGGTCATAGAGGGTACAGAGCCGCATTTCCCCGATTTTATTTGGTGCCACGCAATTAAATGCCAAAGGCACCTGTCTTATAGCTTTGCTGTAAGGTCCCTCAAAATCTATACACGAAATGGACTCCCCCCCCCGCGACAGTACTAAGATGCAATCTAAAGGGAAAGCACACTCACATACTTATCATGGGTGATTTCAACGTACATTGTTTAGCAACTTCTGGCACAATCGGAGAGCAATTCAAAGCAGATCTGCAAGAGCACCTTACTGCCGCTCCGCTTTAAAATAACATCACTTTGCCCATTCGGTTCAGAACAGGTAACAGACCATTTGTGCTGGATCTCGTGCTTAGCAGCGAGGAGCGTATGATTGATTTGTTGGTTGTAGGCTATCCGCTAAGTCGCAGTGATCGTGCAATCATTAGTTTCAAGTTCGTCCGCTATGGAGAATATCGTAAAGGGAAATTTGAGGCGGTGCGAACCATCACACTATGATCTATTAGCCTAGTTCGTCAGCGCCACAACCTGGTCGTTCGTTGCCGAAGAACCCCCGGAATTCGCCTGGCTCGAGTTTGTCAACAAATTTATTCAGCTGATTAAAGATTCTTCAGAGACAAAAGTTTGCAATGGATCTAAAGCCTTTTCATTCGTTAGGAGCAGAACTCGAAACTGAATGTTAGTACGCGAAGCAGCTTGTCGGTCATATAGAATTGCTCCAAAGCCAGCAACTTGAGAAAACTACGTAGCCCTAAGTAACCACTGTATGCAGCTTCTCAGAGACGACAAAGCCGCATATCAGTAGGACATGGTGAACACCTTCCCCGCTAACTATAAACTGCTGTACAAGCTCGTCAGTGGCCTATGAGAGGTGAGGCAAGGATTTCTTCCAATCATGGAGGCTGACGGCCCAACAAGAACGGCCATGGAAGCACCAAATGGGATGCGGATGCAATATGCCCCCACGTCTTGCCATCAAACGCTCTTCCACTTTTGCCGCCCAGTCGCCAGGACTCACCCGGACTTCTTTTATCGTTGAAGCAGTCGTGAAAAGCTGGCATCACTGCGCAACCACAGCTCTGCGCATGCCGATGCCATTCGTCTAGAGGCACTAGGAGCAGCAGCAAAAAGCCAAAAGCAGTACGCCGGTACACATTATTGACGCTTCTCTGCCGCGTCGCAGCAAGACAATTAGCAGAACCTTTGGTTCAGTTTTTCCAGTGCTGCTTAGATCAGAATCAGGTTCCTGCTGTGCGGAAAGTTGGATTAACAACTCATATTCACAAAACTGGGAGCAGAGCTGAGTCTTCAAAATACCGCGCGATATCTTTTCTCCCAACACTGTCCAAGTCATGAAATGCATCGTTGCAGAAACACTGGTGTGCTAGCTGGAAAACTGTAACATTTTTACATCTTAGCAGCAAGGCTGCCGTCGATAGCGGTCGTACACAACGGAGTTACTAATCGAACGCAGTAGCTGGACCGAGTCAGTTGATGCTGGAGAAGAGGTTGATATGAGCTACTTGGATTTTTCGGAGGCATTCGATCGTCTAGTTCATCGCATACTCCTTTCCAAGTTCCAGTATTGCGGGATCGATGACCTTCTTTTAATCCGGGTCGCCAACTTTCTCCTTCAACGGCAATTAGTGGTCAGAGTTCGGAACTCTTTATCTGACCCCGCACAAGTCGAGTGTGGTGTGCCGCAGGACTCAGTTCTATATCTAAAATTGTTTTGGAATGTATTAATGACCACGCACAGACAACTGCTTCAAACTTCTTAAAGTTTGCCGACGACATTATGATTTGACGCAGGATTCGGGTGAATGCCGACCAGCATCTATCTCAGATTGATCTAGATACGGTACATTAATGGTCAGTCCAAAAGTTTCTGCACTTCGACGTGAGTAAATGCAAGGTACTCTCCATACGATGCCAAATCAACTACACATAGGCTCGGAACGCATGCACTGCAACATTCTTCCGTCGAACATGACCTGAGTGTGCTGGTTAAAGATGACTTAGGTTGCTCTAGGCAACACAAAAGGGCATCAAAACCTGGGAGTCAAGACGTCAGTCTGTTACGACGGGCGTTCGGAGAAATCAACATCTCTATTTTCCGACAGATACCCAGTGAGTATGTTTACTTCCATGTCGGGTACGCAATTCAAGCCTGACATCCATGGCTAAAACACGACCTTAATGCACTGCAGCAGTCTCAATTTCGGGCACCTAAGTACGTAATTGCAATGTGCAATCTCTTATACGTGCAAAAACGGAAAGGAATGGGGGTATTCAGCGGACGATAACGCGACCTACGAAGTGCCCTGATAATGGCCTAATTACTTCTGCTCGACCCACCTCCTATAACATATATATATATATATATATATATTGCCCCCTTAAAGATGACTTCGCGGGCCACAAGTGCTGAGTGCAACACATGCCTATTAAGGGTACACCACAGGACGCAGCAACCAACAGTAGAAGTAAACGCAGCTGCCGGTATATTAGCGCACGATGTGCATGCTAGATCTGGCAGGATGTTATGGCCACGGTGACGTCCGAGAATAGGTCGGTCTGTTGGCCTTGACTGGAGTGCCAACATTTTGTTCCAATCATCAAAGGATGAGGAATGCTGTCCGATTTCAGACAGCGAGAACACTAGTGTTACAATAGCAGGTCAGTGGCAGTAGAAGCGAAACAGTGAGCCCCTCAAGAGCAGCAAGTCGAAATCCAACTTTGTCTATATTCATTGAAGCACGGTCATATTTGAAAACGTGTACAACTCAGTATTACCATGACGCACGGGATTATTGCCTTCGTATGAGAACGCATGGATGGAATGAATAATAGGGGAACCAGTAAAGCCACGTATTAAAGTGACATAACATCATCTGACAGCTAGCAACATCGACCAAAAAGTTGTCCCACCTGACGAGATAACCCCAGTAGACTTGCTTCCATTTCACCTGGTCGAGTTGGTTGTTCCTTCGGGTTGGCCTGCTGGGCAACCTCAGCATTTGACGTCTGGCTTTCTAAGTGTGGCTTCCGAGAAACTAATGCGTCGTTTGTTTCTTTTGAGTTAGGATGATATTCACTCGCATGTGTGCCCAGATGTCCAGTGTGCTCAGATAATTCTAAACCAGTTTTCGAGTTGGCAGGTTGAATTCTCATGTTGCTTTTCTCATTGTAATCCAAAGCGACCTCTGGTTGTAAGTTGCTAGAAATTTGAGAGGAAACACGTCACGGACATAACATCGTCTTGTTGGTTAACGTAGTTTTGAAAATCAACGAGAACCAAGAATATTGTGACCGAGGGTAATCGAACAACTTCATGCTGAGACCCAACTTAATTTCGACACCCGAAAAGTATATCACTCATAGATCCCGCGTTCTAGTGCGACCCCTCGAAATTGCTTTTGATAGCAGAAACGTCAGCAAATGACTTCACTTCCGAAACTTATCTAGCAGCCTAGTAACCATCATCAACCTCAACAGCAAAGTAGCAAGTTGAACTGTTATTCCGCTGTCATACAACCTCAACGAATTTGCCAAAAATAAGTGCAAATCAGTTAAGAAATGCTCTAATATTAAGCAACCGTTCAGTAGCAATTTGCCCACATGTTGTCAACCTCCTATCGTCATAGCTGGTTGGTCGTTGTGTACGCATAAGACCGCATTAATGAGGATCTGTCCGCGTAGTGCTCAAACTTGCGCGCACAGACAAAGCATTACTATGCACACTTTAAATAGTCGTTCTGGGTATCGGTGGCAACCATGCCATTGGTGTCGGTTGTGGACGATAAGCTGTAGGACGTTGAATCAAGCAGATTACCTTCGGTGTGAACGGTGGCATAGAAATCGATACGAACTAGCAATACTAAATCTAATGGTGGTGGACTTCATACTCTACTATCCAGTCAGCGACAACTCTCGAAACTTGCGCCATCCTGCTTCATAGTGCTAAAAGAAAGATGCCTTCGATAAGACATGAACGAGCACCTATAACATGCCTAAGCTAAGACAGCATATTTCAAATCATCAACAACAGCAGTATATGAACCATTTGAACTGATGCTTCGCTGCCACACAACCATGATGACCTATGAAATGAAGAATGATAAGAGGGAGAGAAGGGGGACTTACCTAAAAACCTTAATGCTCTAAGCAAACATTCAGGGTCAAGGCGCCTACACCTTGTGTAGACAACATACCGTCACAACCAGCTGGCTATCGTGCAAAGATAAGGCGGCATCGGCGAGACAGCTTCCTTGCGGCTTTCACTGCTACGCGTCATAATCAGCCATTACCCCGCAGATAACTCAGCACCAAACACACTTTAAATAGGCAATCCGATTAGGAGACGGCATCAGACGCGCCACTGATGTAGGTTGCGAGCCATGTCCTGTAAAGTCTGGAGGCAAGCACAAGGCGAGTCACGTGGACTCCAGCCCGGAAGACGAGACGGACCAACGGCACCCAGTTTGGTCGTCAGTAACTTCCGGCCTCAGTAGTACGCCGGTACACAGTACCGACGCTTCGCTGCCGCGCCACTACCACTAGTCTCGCGTGGGCTACGGATACTGCGATGGTTGCCCGGTCCCCTACGCAGGCTCGAAACCGCGACCTCAGGATTACAAGGTAGGCTTGTGCCCCAAGGACAATCATTTTTTCGCTGGAATAGTAGGTCAATGACTCGTGTGCAATTGGGATATCCAAACCAAAGTAACTAAGCGGAAGGTACCCATATTCGTATTTTGTGCACTTCGCCGAAGAGCCTGGGAAATTCCTTCGGATACTAGCGTTGTGGTAGATCTATGGAGGCAGTTTTGGCGTTCGCAATAAGAAAGACGCCTTCGATCGCCACACGCTGGTCACCGATAATGCAGTTGTCAAGGTAAGTGCACTACTCAACTACATCAAGTTCCTCGTCATCTGGGATTAAATGAAGAGTAGCCAGCTGTTCGTCCCATAATGGAGCTTTGTATATGTAGGTCCAACTCGCATACCAAGTGACAAGTTCAATCAGCACAGTCTATGCAGTGAAATAGTAAGAGTTACTCATATGTATTAAACCTTAACTACCGGTTTTCTTTCCAGAGAGATCACAATATCTGTAACGTAAAAGTCCATGGAGGAAATTTCGGTGATAAAGCCTGTGGTCACGATCACGTAAGGTGTTCAAACATCACAAGAGAACACCTTTGCTGGCAAGTATGCTGTAAATGATGGACCAGTCAATCGAGTCTAACGCACTGTTGACATCGATGAACACAGCTATGGTCGGCCTGCGGTGCAAGCTTCGCCGCGTTAGCACCTGTAGCAGAATTTATTCCTAACGCAGACAGCCGCAACCCAAACTGAAACTTGTTTGCTACTTTCTCCTCTGGAATCTGGGCGATGGGAGACCAGTAATGTTGCTATAGCTAGTACAAACGGCGCAGCTGCTCTTTATATTTCCTATAATGAACGGTTCACCTCTAGTTACATGAACGGTCTCGTTCTCCGGAACCTGTTTAAACAAGCGAAGCACTTCTTTGCAGAGGACATCACAACCATCTTTAAAAAACAGCGAAACCGGGAAGTGACTAAGAGCTGCGACCGCTTTTTGAACCACGGCTTAATTTCCAGCCTCTATCTCCAAGCTGACTAACTACGGTTTAACCTGCGCCACGAAAATACAAGGCGATTTAGATACATGGGATCGACTGAACGACTCCTGGAAGTGCCTTGTTCGACCAGCCGGACGTATATTTTAGTGTGAAACAGAGCACCGACTATGTTCGTGGTGATCATACGGACGTATGGGTCCTCGAAACAAGTGCTGAGGATCAGGTTAAAGGTTCGTCGCTCTTCCTCGTTATCTTGTGATTTCTATTTTAGCTAGTGGCTGACAACCCGTCTGATCGCACTGTGCTTCCTGGTCACGGGGTTCCTCCTTTTAATGTCAGTAATATTCTCGAAACTAACATTTCGCGTCCGTTAGATGACTACTGATAGCACCGAGCAGGTGTTCCGTAGATAAGCATGATAACAGGAATGCTAATCAACCGAAAGTTACTTCTTTACATCAATTAGACAAAATTTCGTAGTGTAGTGTAACTTGGTACGCGCCTGACCGTGACCTGTTGCTTCTCGGTCACCAGTCGGGGGACGCTCACGCATCACCCGACATAGTTCATGGTGAATCAGTGGCGCACCAGACCATTTGAATCGAGATAGGCGTTCCTAAACCAGCGGTTGTTGAGGATGTAACTAGGTCACCTGAATCTAAAGCTACTGTGTTCTGTCAATCCATCGTTGGTAAGCTGCTGGGGGATACCAAGTTACACGACGGTGCCCATTGTGCAGATCAACAACGCCGAGTCGTACCATTGGATGATCAGTGCAGTTTTGCAATAAACGCTCGCCGTTGTCCATGCAATGGGCGTTAAACCCAAACCCACCACCTAGCCTAGCTTATGAGGCGCTCAGATGACATGCTTTGGCAACCATAACCCAACGGATAAACTGCATAGGAACTGATAGTGCTCCGTGGTGACGTATTAAGCTCGTCAGAAGTTGTTCTTAGCAGTCTCTGGACTGCGGTCACTGGATGCATGCTTGGCAATGTCAAACCCAATCCGTCTAGCGTAGCTCCTGGAGCCAAGTTCGGCCGATGTCATAAAAGAAGATGCACACACGGGAATCCAGTCGACTAGAGACTATTCAGCTCTGAAACTGATAACGGCTGCGTCAGCGTCTTCGGATGCGTGCAACCAATAACAGGAGGACCAGTTTGGCGTATGCGAATCACTGATCCCAGTTTCGGACACGCAACGTAAGTCAACGTACAGGGTATGCAGTGTGCGTGCAAACGCAGCCAGTTGGCTTAACTGTCATAGGAATTCGACGTTGAACGGCGCAAGAAAAGCACGACGATGTGGTCTGATAGTTTTTGATGATAGGAGTCCAGGGGGTAGTATCGGGTTATAGCAGCAAGTGGTAGAACTTCAGAAATATTGCAGCTGCGGCCATTCACGCAGAACTAAGGACAATAGTGAGGATATGGAGACGGTGTGAAGTAATCGGATAAATGGTGTGTGGATGGAGCTCTGGGTGGTGCAACTCAATCCACGATGGTCTCTCTGCATGCGCATGCGTCCTGTGGCTGTCCTATGGAGGCCACATCGACAGACAAATCCGGAATCGAGTACCGCCAAAAATCGGGACATCAGGAGTGGGAGATAAGATTGCTTTTTAGAAAATTCGTGACAACCGACAAAACAACTTTGCTGAGAAACCCAGAAATTCTAAGTTGATCGGGATGTTGACAGGGCAACCACACTTAAGCGGGAGATGACTGAAGTCAGAATAACATAACCAAACTCAAATCATTGCAATCCAGGTACAATGAAAAAAGGATGCAAGCATAAATATCATCAATAAGTGCTCCACGTAATTCACACTATGGACACGGCTTCAAATGTGCGGCGTTGCTGTCTGCAGGTGAACTGAGAGAAATCGTTTATCTGAGTCCCGGCGAAAGTTTAAAGAGCAACCTTCAAGATTCCAAAAAGAATAGCCACATATGATCGATCAGTCCATTTGGGATGCCTTGTAAGGCACTATTTTTATTCCTAATCGTCGACAACTAGTGGGGCTTTCAGTCAGTAAACGTTTTTAATATGATCTGTTGAAGATAACGCAAGAAATTCTTATACTATCAATGACGACCACCAAAGCTAAGTTATTCACTGGCGTGCGCCGTCGCATTTGGTGTGCTTAAAATACCCGGATGAGCAGTTAATGTATGACCGGAGATGAGTGACCGAGGTGTGTATCCAAGCTACCCAAAGTCATACTGTTCATCATCATCCTCGTCATCAATACACATTAGCAGAGGGTGAGAAACATACTTCAGCTAAGGTGCCGTAATACAAAAATTGATCAGATATTACACAATATAGACTAAAAAGCTAAAATAATGTAACATAAGGCTAATATCGCATGTGCGATCATTGCTGGAGGGGAAAGCGGAAGGGTAGGGGATGGACAAAGAGATAGAAAACACAAACGCCAGTGAACTCGACTCTGTGCTAAGTCGACTAGTGCATCCAAACAAACGTGCTCATCATCCTTCGGTCCTCAGCCAGGTAGTCGGGAAACACCAACTGATGACAACTTCGAAGTGAGAAACTTCATTCCTCTTGACCAAGTCATTCCTCGGTCTCTCTTCCT